CTCTTCCCCCCCCCCAACAACCATCATCATCGTCATCATCATCATCATCATCGTCATCATCATCATCAACATCACCATCATCGTCCATCTACCCGTGCAAACCCCCCATTTTAACCCTACCTACTACCCTACCACCCAATCAATCATAGATAGGATCACTCCGCCCTCGCTTTACTTCATTAGCCAGTTATTCCTTCTTTATTATTATTATTATTTTTTCAAAATTCATTTAAAATTCTTGTAAATTTGAAAATACTTCATTATCTATCTTTCTCGATATTTCTTTATCACAAATATCTTCTTTTCTGAAATTTTCAAAACTATGTCGAAGTAATCATTCTTTCTCGGCATTTCTTCTTCGAAATTTGGAAAGCTCGATCCACAAAATTCTGCAAGTCTTCTTGTAAAATACTAGAAGTACATGTAGGAGTTAATAAAATTAAATCAGGTTTTTCCTCTTCATCTTTTATAGTTATATTTTCTACTACTTTTTCTTGAGATCCTCTTGCTAAAACATGTCGGTCTACAATACTAGCTGGTAGAGTAAAATCTCTTTCTCGTTCTAGCATTGAACGCATAACATTAAAATAATCATCTCCTAAGGGAGCGTACATTAATTAATTCTTTTTTGAAATTCTTGCAATTCAAAACTAATTAACTTCTTTTTCGACATTTCTTTTTCGAAAACATTTCTTCTTTTTCAAAAATTTTGAAACTACGTATTTCTTCCTCGAACTTCGAAAATAATTCTAACTAATTATTATTTTTAAGTTTTATAATTCAAAAAAAAATTAGAATTAATTCTTTTTGTTTGAATTAATTAATTATTTTCCAAAATCTTTGAAAAATACGTTAGAATTAATTAAATTCTTTTTTGATATTTCTTTTGGAAATTCAAATATAATTCTAATTAATTCTTTTTCTTATATATGCAAGGAACATGAATGTGGTCGAAGCACAGAGATACCAATTGCAAAATCACACAAGAGTCCGAGTAGTCAAAGCAAGAGCAGATAGCACATCGGAACTAGGATACCATCCATTTGAAAACGCTACAGCAAAAGTCGTGAGTCAATGTCCAAGCCCAACAGGGCAACACCAACAACATAACCCGAAGTAGCTAGCGCCCTATCTACTCTACAGCCTAAACCTACAACTACAGCATGGAAGCAACCAGACTACTTGACGACCAGCGAGTGATGATGTCAACACCAATGCCGACCTCCTCTCCACCAAGTACGTCTCTCTCTCTTCCCTCACTCTCCCTTGTTTTCCCACACAGCGCCCTTCACCTTCCGAAGAACCACCTTCGCCCTCACCTCCTCCAGCGCCCTCATGCAGCCTGGCTATGGTTGCCAGCGCCCTACCGCTTAGCGCCAGCCTGCCTTCACTCAACCTAGTGCAGCGCAGCACTCGCAATGCAGCAGCGTGCCGACTTTGCTCGCAATGGCCAAGATCCCTGCCCACTCGCCTGTTCTGCCTATATGCCAGTGTTGCGTGTGGGTGGTCTGCCTTGAGCCTGCGCCTGGGCCCCAGTACCTGTACCCAGGCCCAATGCAGATGGGGCCCAGGTAATACAGTTGCGCCCCTTATGCTAGGGTCGTTGTATTGATTCAGGCCCTGTACCGGTTTCCCATTGGTTTCCTCGGCCTCGA